TTTGGTGTCGGCTGCAGATTTACTAACCATACCCCCCCTATATTCATATCCAAAACATTTATATAAATGACAAAAAGTAGTGGACCCAGCACAGATCCATGCAGCACACCCGCTGGTCACGGGTCTCCAGTCCAAAAAGCAATCCTCCAGGAGAGCAATTGAAACTGACTTCCCACCTCTTGGTCTGTAGCCCTATAGGGTGACAGCATCTGAAGCATTTTTTTAAATGCCGTGAGGTTTTCTCTGTATACTACCTATCCTATCATGCCTCTGCCAGGCTCTGGGGAAACAGTTTCCCCTTAACACCCTTCTATCAGCCTGCTGATTCATACTCCGGCACCTGCAGGGCAGGTAGGACTTGAACCTGGACTTTCTGGTCTAGAAGCAAAGATACAATCACCGTGCAACAAAAGTAGATTTTTTTTAACAAACCTGTTCAGAGATGTTATTACACACCTCTGGAGTAGATGGAACCCGGGCCTCCTAGCTGAGAGGTAGGGACACTACCAAGGCACAAAAGCCCTAAAGGTAAAATTGCTGTAGTCTTACCAGAACCTGGGCTGCTCATTAGAAAGCGATGACTGACTGGTCGTGGTTGTTTAACCTGAGGGTCACCACATCTCAAGCAAGGGGCGATGCTGAGAGAGAGAGAGAGAGAGAAGCCTTTGTGGTAGCCTTGGTCAGTGTGGGTCAACTTGCCTCTAATTCTCTGCCATTAATTTAACTCAATGCCCCTTGGATATTGATTCTTCTGCTAAAATTAAAAGATCTTTCTGATCAACGTCTGGACCCCTTGTAATCTTGTACAGTTTGATTAAATATCACCTCAGGTTCCAGCCATGGATATTGATTGAAGGATATTTGATTGATTTTATTATTGGGACGTCTACTGAAGTACAGTGAAAAGTGTTGTCTTACGTGCATTGCAGGCAGATCATACTATACAAGTGCATCAGCGTAAGAGAACAGAGTGCAGGATACATTGTTACAACTGCTAGAAGGAGCAGAGGGAGATCAACATTAATATTTGAGAGATCTGTTCAAAAGTCTGATAACAGCAGGGAAGAATCTGTTTGTACTTTTATTCAAACTTTTACAATTTCTTCCCGCTGGAGGGTGGAAGATGTGAAGGGTCTTTGGTGTATTTGTTGCTTTCCTGATGCAGCGCAAGTATAAGTGAAGTCAATGGACGGAAGGCTGGTTTGCATGATGGACTGAGCTATGCTCACAATTCTGTAGTTTCTTTCGGTCTCGGGAAGAGCAGTTGCCATACCACGCTGTGATGCATCCACGTAGGATGCTTTCTATGGTGCATCTATAAAAATTGGTAAGAATCTTTATGGACATGTCGATTTCCTTAGCCTCCTGAGGAAGTAGAAGCATTGTTGTGCTTTCTTGACTGTGGTGTCAACGTAGGTGGCCAAGGTCAGATTGTTGGTGATCATCACTCCCAGGAACTTGATACTCTCGACCATCTCCACTTCAGCACCGTTGGTGCAGACAGGGTCGTGTCCTTCACTCCGCTTCCCAAAGTCAGCTCCTTCCCAGCTCCTTCATTTTGCTGACATTGATGGAGAGGTTGTTGTCTTTACACCATGCTGTTAAGCACTTTATCTCGTTCCTGTACTCTGTCTTGTCATTGTTTGAGATCCAACCTGCAATGGTGGTGTTGTCAGCAAACTTGTAAATGGCGTTGGTATGGACTTTGGCCACACAGTCCTGAGCATATAAGCAGCATAGTAGGGGGCTGAGTACATAGCTTTATAGGGCACCGGTGTTGTGGATTATTGTGGAGAAGGTGTTGTCGCCTATCCTTACTGTCTGGTCAGGAAGTTGGCCAGAACACTGGGTATAACTTCATACTCATCTTCAGATTTGTGCCATTGATGTGTTTTTGCATCCATCTGATAAGGTATTCTCTTCCAAAAGACACCATTCAGACAGTAAAACTTTTCTTCAGTCTATACCCGAATGTCAACTTTTAATTGATCTCATCTTAGCGAAGTGGAGGTGAGAGCTACACAAACCCAGCTGAGACTGAAATGATAAGACGTTTTACTTCTGCCATTGCCAGAAACAATCATTTAAGGCCTAGATTTTCAGAGCAGGTATGGACCGTTCAGCCCTCTGAGCTTGCTCTGCCATTTGATAAGCTCATGGCTGATCTGTTTGGAAAGTGAGTTGAAACCACAGTCTGCACTCCTTTAATACTTGACTTCATGGTCTATCAAAATTTTTTCCAACTCAGCCCTGAATAAGATCAAACACACAGCCTTCACTGTTTTTGGGAAAGCAATCCCATGCTAATAATCCCTCCAGGGGGGGAACTAAAGTCTCATCTCTCTCTGAAAAGCAAGACCCACTGGTTGCTAAATCATGAACCTTAGTTCTAATTTCCCATACAATGGAAGCATCCTCCTTGTACCCACTCCCATCAAGTCTCCTCAAGATCATAGAGAGAGAGAAGAGAGAGTCTTACAGCTTAGAAAGAGGCCCTTCAGCTCACCATGTCTATGCTAACCAAAAAAATCAAACAGCATTTGATCCGTAGCCTACTATACCCTGTTGTGAGAGTATCTGCCTCCACCACCCTCTCAATCAGCATGTTCCATATTTCTACCACCTTCTCAGTGAAAACAGTGTTTTCTCAGATCTCCTCTAAACCATTTGCTCCTAAACTTAAATCTATACTCTGAGATCTTGTGTCTTTTAATAAGATCACCTGACATTCATTTATACTCCAGTGGATAAAGATCCAACCTGCTCAAACTTTCTTCAGAAAATAAACCACAGATACTCAAATGAACTTTTTATGAACTACTTTTAATACAATTACGTCACTTTTCAAACAAAGAGATAAAATTATACACTATTCCAGATGTAGTCTCAGCAAGATCCTGTACGGTCGCAGTAAAACTTTCCAACTCTTGTATTCTGTTCCTCTTGCAATAAACATCAACATTCCATTTGCTTTCACTACCACTTGCTGTACCTGACTACTAACTTTTCGAGATTCATGTACCAGGGAGCCCAGATTTCTATCTGCCTCAGAGTTCTGCAATCTCTCTCCACTTAATACTCCACTGTTTATCCAAAGTGGACAAGTTCACATTTTCTCATATTGTACCCCATCTGTCAAATTTTGTCCATTCACTTAACCTATCTAGATCCCTTTACAGATTTCTTATGTCTTCCTCACAACTTTGGATTTTTAGGTGAGGATATTAGGGTGGATGAATAAGGTGGATGAGTAAAATTTGAGGCATCATCCAATTGCATCGAATTGAGGAACTGGCTTAAGGGACGGCAAGATCAACTCCTGTCCTAAGTTCCTAAACCATAATACCAGAAGAACAGGAGTGAATGAACAGACTGTGGAAAGGAAAGGGGAGAAGGTGACCAAGACTTAATGCCCTTTTGGGAAGGTAACCTGGTCCTTATCTTGTCTGGTCTGCATGTGACTCCAGACCCACAGCAATGTGGTTGACTCTTTAATGTCCTCTGAAATGGCCTATAGCAAAGCACTCCGTTCCGAGGCAATTGGTGTTGGGGAGCAAACACTGGCCCTGCCCATTGAAAAATAAAGTTTAAAAAAAAAACAGGCAAAAGAGGGTGTGATATTCCACATGTAACAAAGGTTCAAAATGGATGCTGTTAGGTTCAGGCTACTTTGTTTATTTTACGACTCACGCTGTATAATATTCATGACAAACAGGGATCAACTGATCTTGTTTAAACCAATTGAGTACTTATCTCATTACAGGATGCCATAAACCTTCCCCTTAATTAAATACAACACAGATTATCAGTCTTTTTCTCATGACTATTTTGTCAGAACATGATAAGCTCGGACTCACTTCACCTTCAGCAAGTCTTGAGTTTTATTCCTAATCTTTTACACTAATACTGCCTCAGGGCTGGGTGGTGCAGTCAGTTAGTCCAATATTCTTTTCAACTCTTGGATGAAAGTTCAGTTCCAGCCCAAGCTAATTAGATGAAATTGCCTGTCACAAGCATTTTAATGTTTTTACAGCCACTGGTCGGTTCACAGCATTTCACCAGATGAATCAATATTTCTCCATGGGATCCAAAGTAGACTTCATAATAACTTTGAGCAGAAAATTTAATAAATGCTTGAAGGAGTAAAATTTGGTGGAAAAAGCAGAAGAGTAAGAGTAATTGGAGATCTCTTTGAAAAAGCTGGCACAGACACAATGAGCTGCCTGTCCTTCATTTGTGGAGTAGCATTCTATCTATCAAATCAACTGCTGGACGCATCTGAAAAACTATTTTTTGTTATTTGCGATGAGGAAATGTGTATATGGTTTCTGAGAGAGATTTGAAAGTGATTTATTTGCTGTTTTGCTCCGAAGGAATTGAAATTAACAAATATGTAACTAAAATGCAGCTTTAATTTTTCTTAAAACTTCCACAAAGCAATTTTTTGTGTTATGTTCGGTTGCTGTCTTATAGGATGGTTTAGTTGTTCATCATAGGCTGTATCTGCTTTTCTGGAAAATATGTTAGATGCATATTGTGGTCAATTGGTAAAAGGTAACAAAATGTTTGAATGACTTAAGTATTTTTACCAGCACCTGTACCTCACCTGGAATGCCAGAGGAAAAGACTCTTCACAATCCTCATACATTATGCAAAAGCTATCAGAGACCCATCCTTTGCTTCAGCGTTATCAATCCCATCTTTCCTTCCTGACTTGTCGAAGCTCTTCATTAGTCAGAAGGGAGTTTTACCTTGCTACTAATCTCTGCCTGTTATTGCTTCTTCTATATGCACATAATAGTAAACTGTTTCGTACATGTTTAAAAACAATTGTAAGGGTCAGTTTTTAAGCCCTTTAACTCTTCCTACAACAGCTGTTGGCAAAACCAGCGAGGAGAGAACCGAGACAACAAGGTGCAGGGCTGGATGAACACAGCAGGCCAAGCAGCATCATAGGAGCAGAAAGGCTGACGTTTCGGGCCTAGATACAGGAGAAGGACGTTCAGCCACTATGTAACCATTGATGTCTACAAAAGAGACTGCCATCCACTTTGTCAGGCAACATGGAGCAGTCAGCATTGAAGATGGTAAGTCTCTAGGCCAGACACAACAAGTTGTATTGGCAAGTTTTTTTCCATTGTCTCTGACTCCTTAACTTTTTCAGTCACACAACCACACTAGTGTCACTGACCAGCCACAGTGTCTTTTAACCTTATCTCTGCTGGCTACAGGTGAGCTACACAATTTAATCAAAATAAACTGAGAAATATATTTTGCTTTCTCGAGGTGTGTCCTGTTCTCCGCTGTAATTCTTTCTAAATCATCATTACAGGAAGGATTCCAAAAGCTTTGGTGAAAAATGGAAAAAAGGCGTTCTGATTTTGAAATCCTCCCAATGGCTTATGTTCCAGCTACCAAGGCAATTTTTGCTAAATTTGGTGGGGAAGCAGAATTATGAATGGCTGTCAATAAAGCTGTAAGTACAGAACTTAGCTGGACCGCTCATCCACGTCTAAACCAAAAATTCTTTTCTAGATCAAAGAAGGCATGTTTGTGTTTGGATCTTTCCCCCTAAAGAGAGGCAGATCTTGTTTAAATATAACTTTTTTAATGGGTCCCCATGGAAGTTTATAAAATCATGAAGAGGCATAGATAGAGTGAATAGTCAAGGTCTTTTCTCTTTGGGGAGTCCAGAACTAGAGGGCACAGGTTTAAGGTGAGAGAGGAAAGACTTAAAAGGGACCTGAGGGGCAACCTTTTCATGCAGAGGGTTTGGATGTATGGAATGAGTTGCCAGAGGAGGTAGTGGAGGCTCGTACAATTTCAACATTTAAAATGCATCTCGATGGGAATATGAATATGAAAGGTTTAGAGGGATTAGGCCAAATGCTGGCAAATGGGACTAGATTAATTTGGAATATCTGGTCTGCATGGACGAGTTGGACTGAAGGATCTGTTTCCATTCTAAACATCTCTATAACTCTTATGACGGTATCCTTCCATTTTCTCCAGAGTAATCCTTCCTGTTCTATGCCAGGCTGTTTGTCACCTGCTGCTAGGGCTTTGCCTCTAGGCTTTCTTTGGGTAACTATTTACACATAGAATGTAAATCACCCTTCCTGAACATAAAAAGGGCAAATAATTACCCTTGGAGTGATATTTGCACTTCCCACTACTTTCACCACTTCAGCAATTAAGAAGGTCCATTGGAGACCTTCTCAACCTGTTCAATTAATGGCCACTTAAGGGCCTCAACATGATATCGGCCCAATTATCTGGCTTCCTGGCAGGTCAGAAAGTGCCTGATAGGATGACCGCCTTATGAGTTACTTGGCAGGGAGGGATTTTATAGGCGTTCATTTTACCCTAATCTATGGGTAAATGGGGGTGCCACTGCTGTTGCCTCGATCCACCCCCAACTCCCCTTCCTATGACCTTAACCCAGTGAGACCCAGAAGAAACCAAATTACCTCTTACCTTTTGGATCCCCTAAAAACTAAGGCTCCAGTGACAATCTCTTAGACTAAGAAGCTATTCACTTCTGATTGGCCAGCAGCTTTCTAGTGAAGCGGGACTTTAATATTGAGCTCTGTGATTCACTGAGGAACGTGCCAGTCAGCTCTTAACAAGCTGATCGGAGCTGAGTTAAGTGAGTTTTCACAGTGGGACGAAGAGTTAGTCACCACATGCTTGCCCCTGTACTTATGCTGCAAAATGGAAAATTTTGGCCGTAGTTGCCATGGAACCCCAGTTAGATGGATAATTTTTTCTTTCTTTATTTATTAACAGGATGAGGGTGCCGCTGGCTAGGCAGCATTTATTACCCATCCCTAATTGCCCAGAAGGCAGTTCAGAGTCAACCACATTGCTGTAGATCTGGAGTCACATGTAGGCCAGACCAGGTAAGGATAGCAGTTTCCTTCCTGAAGGACATTAGTGAACTAGATGGGTTTTTCCGACAACTGACAATGGATTCATAGTCATCATTAGATTCTTAATTCCAGATATTTTTTTTTTTAATTCAAATACCACCATCTGCCATGGCAGGATTCAAACCCGGGTCCCCAGATCATTATGTGGGTCTCTGGATTAACAGTCCAGCGATAATGCTGCTAGGCGATTGCCTCCCGTTTGATTAATTAATTGGAGAGAAGACTTTGAAAGGATGAGTCTCTAAGAAGACTACAGACAGCATATTATATAGGATTTATGGCAAGTGTAACTAGCTTTGCAAGAAGATGGCAGCTGTACGATAATGCTGTTGCTTACAGATTAACATTGTTACACCTTTAATTTGAACCATTAGAACCTTCTTCATACACAAATTTTAGGCAAATCTACTCCCTAAACAGTTTCTACGTCTTCTGTAGAATGACTAAATTATCTTTGAATTTAGCTGCAAAACAAATATTTGCAAAACACTGCCTTTGGATTTGATAACTACTTAAAAAAGGATGTTTCATATGTAGAATCATCAACATTGGGCTCGAACATGACAATTGTACCCCAACAAGAGTTTTCTAATGCTTATACAATTAAATGCCGGCAAATCAGAATAACAAAATGTGAAAATAATAAAACAATGATATACTGTGTCAAGTTTCAGAGCCTTTAGGCATTTTCTGCAGAAAAGGTTTCAAATATAAGTTTTGTATTTCAAAGTACACTTTATTTTCACACTCATAGAAGGCCACTGAGACAATTGGTGCTGAAAATGATAATGAGCTACTTTTGTTTTGTGATTGACTGTTAGATGGCAGTTGTGGTTCAGTGGTATCACGCTCACCTCTGAATTAAACAATCATGGGTCAAGACCCATGCCAGAAACTTGAACTACAATGTGTATGCTGTCATCCACGTCAGAGGTGTGGTTTGTTGGATGAAAATTATATCAAATTTGAATATAGAATAGGTCATTCATCCATTTGCACAATGCTAGTGTCTTTGGGCTCCACATAAACATTATATGTTACTTCATCTAACCATGTTTACTTTCCTTCCGTTCTCTTCAAGCTCATTTACTAATCTTACTTCTCTGCAAATGCATTTTGAGAAGGTGATAGTGAGTCTCTTCCTTTAACTGCCATTCATGGAGTCTGGATGTACCAAGCTATTAGGAAGCACATCCAAGGACTTTGACCCAAATTAGTTACTATCTTATAACAGTAACTCCTAAGCAGAACCATTAGAGTGGGAACATGGGCTGAATGATCTACTCTTGTTCCTGTCAAACCCTTCCTGCCATTGGATACAATCTAACACTTCAATGCCTTTTATCTGCCCATACCCATACATCTCGACACCACTGGTAATCAGTAATCAATTAATCTCTATCCTAAAAATATTCAGAGACTAAGCCTCCATAGTCCTCTGTGGTAGAGAATTCCAAAGGTACACAACCCACGCAATAAAATAAATTCTCCTCATTTATGACTTAAGCAGCATCCCCTTTATTTTTAAATTGTGTCCTCTGGTTCTAGATTCCCCAAACAGGGGAAACATCTTATCTGAATCTACCCTGTCTATTCATTAAGTATTGCCTAGATTTCAATGAGATCACCTCTCATTCTTTGAGACTTTCGAGAAAACCAGCCCAGTTTCTCTTTGTAGGACAGTCCAGCCATCCAGGAGCAAGTCTGGTGAACCTTTGTTGTATTCTTTCTGTGGCAATAATATCTTTGGAGATAAGGAGACCAAATCTGCACACATTATTTAGGTCTAACCAAGCTCCTATACAATTGAAACATTAAAATCAAAGATCCAGACTGTCCTCTCAGGTGGGTGTAAAAGATACCTGACACTGTTTTGAAGAGAGTAGGGGAATTCTTTCATGTTTCTTAGCCAATATTGATACCTCATTTATAGAATGAGAAGGTTACCTCTTTTCAATGTTCCTGTGTATTCGACTTAGCTGTGTATATATTGATTGCTGCATTTACCTCTAACAGCAGTCCAATTGGAGTAAACTATGCATCAGGTCCTGAACAGATTTTGGATTCCTGATTGCTATATTCAAGATGAGGTGAGTACTCTCAATAACTAAGAATCAACCGAACATAAATGGCAGTCATAGATTTTTTTAAAAATGTTGCTCTATTTAAAGCCCAAAAAATGCATGAAACAAAGTTGAATTTCTCCCCCAGGGACCGAGCAGTCCATCTGGTGTTTAGAACATTTAATTTTACAAATGCAATGAAGTCCAGCAAAAGGTTAGAATGTAGACTTTGTGTTTAACTGGGAAGCTGATTTGGATAATCCATGAACACTTGTTACTGTTAATTGAAATACAGGCAGCATGTCACCTTCATGTTACCTGCTAATGATAATGATACCTGTTTACTGCCATTGTCCTGTACACTGGCTGCACACCTTCGCAAGGATCCAAACATCACGTTTTTTTTTAGTGCCTCTTAAAGCCAGCTTGCACCTCTTATTGGAAAATCTGTTGTGGCTGTAGAAGTGGCTGTGAGTCAGATCGGTCTGTCCTGCAAAACTTTAGGAATGCCACAACTTCAGGAAAAATGGACTTCAAATTTTTAAATGCTTCACTGGAGGTTTTAGTTGAGAATGTAGAGATGCCCTATATCTACAGGGAGAAAGGATGTCATCCAGATGTGTACAGAAAAGACAGTTGGAGTAGCTAGCTACCTCCGTTTTTAAAAATATTAAATGACCCTGCCTCCACTGCCTTCTGAGGTAGGGCGTATAGGATGGACTGAAGGGCTAAACTTGATGACATTCGATAGCTGCATGACCTTGAATAAGTCCTGTGAATATTCCTGTATGTGCCGAGGCCGGCACAATCAACGTGTTTTTCTGTACTTGTTTTTTCTGTGCCTTGCTGTTTGTTACACCATATAAGAGAGAGAGTTTCCTTCCAAGCCACTGGACTTCAACTCAGACCAGGATCACAAACAATGCCAGGAACAAACCTAAGCCTCCTGACCAGCCTTCGATTGAGGAGTCCCTGACGTGCAGGAGGGTGTGAGGCTCATTGCTTTCTCTTCCTTCCTTTTTCATCTTTTATATTACCTAATAGATGTTCATAGTTCAGTCTTATTTTCCCTTTCTTTTCCTTTTTATTGTTCATATTTAAGCAAATTACTATTGTTGAGTCTTCTCAACTATGTTTAACCGATTCCGAAAAGGACCGCTTGGTTACCCTGTGATCCAAGACAGGCAAATGACCAGAAATTAACAGTGGAAACTGATGGTTGTGCTAACCTATAGATTTATAATGAAACCCTTGTAAATCTCTGAAAGTCTTCTGCTTTCTAATTCGACATATGGATATGAGCATGTCTACTTCTACCAACTACATAATGCATTCTCCCAGGTTCCTTTGACTGTGCCTTCTGAACGTGCAATCTCTATCACCTAGAAGAACAGGCAGCAGACCCATGGAAACACCACTACCTGCAAGTTTGCCTCCAAGCTATACGCAATCTAATTTAGAACCAAAGTGCTGAGCCTTTACTGCTGCTGCATCAAAATCCTTGAACACCCTTCTGAACAAGCACTGTGGATGTCTCTACATAACATAGACATCAGCGGTTCAAGAAGGTGGCTGGACACTGGGGATAGGCAACAAATGTTGTCCTACCTAGTGACACCATGTCCCGTGAATGAAACAAAAAACATTCAGTGCAAAATACTTGTGAACAAGCTGTCCAACTGATTCTCATTGTCTGCTCATTTCCCCACAGTCCTAGAAAATTTATGTGGAGATACCGGTGTTGGACTGGGGTGGACGAAGTCAGAAGACACCACAACACTAAGTTATAGTCCAATAGGTTTATTTGAAATCACAAGCTTTTGGAGCGCCGCTCCTTTGTTAGTGAATTTAACCCTTCAAGTACTTCTCAAATTCCTCTTTTGAGCGTTAATATTGAATCTGCACCATCATATTCTCATGCTGCAAGTTTGAGATTATAACAACATGCAGTGTGAAACACAAGGTTTCTCCTGATGCCTTTGGTTCAGTCATTCCTGAATGAATTTAGCACCCTTAAGTGTCAACATTTCCCAATCTCTCACCATCTAAGAAATATTCTCTCTTTTTTTGAGTGAAGTGGATTATTTCTTAATTAGTCATATTATATTCCACCTGGCATGTTCTTTCCATTCTTTTAGCCTGTCCAAGTCCCTGGAAACCTCCTTGCACCCTCCTCACAACTTCCATTCCCGCCCAGTTTTGTTTCGTCATAAAGCTTGAAATACTACATTTATATCCAAATCATTTACATAATGAACAGTTGTGGCTTTGCAGCATCCCACTAGAAATAGCTTGCCCTCCTGAGAACAGTTTGATCGTTCCTGCTATGTTTTCTGTCTATCAGCCAATTCTCAATAAAGACCAATTGCACATCATATGTAGATCTTCCAGTTCTGAAACTATATTGGGATTTGGGATCAATGTGAGGAGGGCAAAAGAAATTAAATAACAGCTATTCAATGAGTCATTAATGATGTCTTTAAATAGCTCTGGTTGGGGACTCATTTGATATTGCTTTAATTGTAGAGTTTAAGGGAGGATGTTGGCTAGAGCACTGAGTTCCAAAATTACTGTGCTGGCAACAAATCAGCATTGTGTTCTCATTGGCATCATGATCTAGCTGTAATGTATACATTGGATGGATATTAGCTGGGTGCTTGCAACTGCACTTGCCAACCTGACGTGCAGTGCAATTCATGGAAACTGTGAGAATGCATCGGATGCCTTTTTGGTTCCTAAATGGCATCTTTAGTGCCCAAAAAAATCACTTAATTAAACCTAATTCCCAAGTTTAGGGCTGGATGAACACAGCAGGCCAAGCAGCATCATAGGAGCAGAGA